CAAGGGGTTAGTAACCCCTTCTCTTGTATAGATTACTAAATTTAAAAAGAGAAACTTTCGTTTTTCCTTTTGGGCCAACCCGCCTTGGTCGGATATGGCCGGTTTGTTGAAAAAAATACAAAAAAACAAAAACCAAAAAAAAACATGAAAGATTTCAGGTACATCTTGTTACTTCTACTTACACTTACGTCACACTACACATGTATGTACAAGCATATATATACATACCCCTCTGAGTTTTTTTTCTATTTTCTTACTAGTTCTTGTTCTTGTTTATTTCTTATCTCCATGGGGAAGTAGAATGGAATTCTTCTTCCATAAGCCATGTTTGTTGTAAGAGGTGACTAAAATGCTGGGAGCAAGGGGCTAGTAACCCCTTCTCCTGTATGCATTACTAAAGTTAAAGAGAGAATCTTTTGTTTTTCTTTTTGGGCCACCCTACCTCGGTGGGATATGGCTGGTTTGTTGAAAGAAGAAATACACATGTATATTATATATACAATTTAAATTCACATAGGTTATTTATTTAAGTACAATTAAACACATGAAATTAAACTTTAATAACATGATCAAAGCAAGTAAATTAAAGCCTAATGAAAAACCATTAATACTCTTACGTAACTACAGCAGAAATTCAATTATTCCCCAAACAGGAGGTAGGTATGTTAAGAAATAGAATCCTCCCCCCCCCTCACATTCCTTAACTACTATACAGGTTAAAGAATTACTGCTGGTTCTTGTGTTTCCTCTCTTTGGATCATCCTACCTTGGCAAGAAATGGCCAAGTTAAATTTCTTTTAATAACAGAAGAAAGCACTATTGAATACAATTTACCAATCAGATGATCAAGCAAAACAGCTCAAAGTTATAATTAACCCTTTCACTGTCCAGGCCCTTAAAATTAACATATCTCCCAGTAACCAGTTTAAAAAAGAAATTCTTATGAAATGGTAGAATCTTTTTCTGAAGTAATGACACCAAAAGTACGAAATTTGATGGAAAACTTACGGAATTACAGAGGTGCAAAGTTAGAGGTCTGGGCTCAATTGAAACATCAGCGATTATGCCGAGTCCTATTTTAAGTCAATTCATTCCTTCTTTTCAACCAAATTCTTAGCTATTTTGCTAGTACACATTCCATTCTACTGACTGAGCATAAGAAACTGTCCATTTCTACTCCATAAAGTACAAAATTGGTAATTTGGCCAATTTTAACAAAATTAAAAAAATGCCAATTAAAAATTAGAGTACAAAATAAAGAAAGTAGGCATTCCTGGTGCTAAAACATTTCTTCTGATCATTAATCACATCCTCAGGCCTCTCCTATATTACACTTGCCTTCCATTTTGAATTCAAAATCACAAAAATAGAAGATTTATTCTATTTCCCAGATAATAAATTATAGCCAAGAATGATTGGTCATGGTTTACAGTATCCCAGTAATTGAATCAGACCTATTTAAAACCCATAAAACAGACAAGGGAGCATAGGGGGTCTTACCTGTCCTTGGGGAAAATCTAATACAAATGTACTTCTGTTACTTCGAGCCCAATTCCAAACTACTACTGACCCTAAAACCAATGAAAAATTATCTCAATTTCAGTAGCACTATCAAATGGTACCAAGAAACAGCCAATAAAACCATAACAACCATCCTACAAAAAACTCACAGTTGCTATTTTAAACTGAACACATGGTCAGAGTTTTTGTTTTTGAACTAAAGCTAAAGAAATCTTACAGGAGTCAAGAAATGCAAGAAGAACTAAAAGCCATAAATGAAATTGCAAGAAACCCAAGGTAGTATTTCTTTTCTTATGCCAAATCAAAGTCTAGAACAACATCCAGTATTGGGCCCCTACTTAAATGGGATGGGTCCTACACAGATGACAGCACGGAAATGAGTGAGCTATTAAAGTCCCAACATGACTCGGCTTTCAGCGAGTCACTAAGCAGACAGAGTCGAAGATCTAAACAAGTTTTTTATGAGAGAAAGACAGAATTTGGTAGACACATGCCTATCTGATATTATCCTGACACCCAATGACTTCGAACAGGCAATAAATGACATGCCCATGTACTCTGCCCCAGGCCCAGACTCATGGAACTCTGTGTTCATCAAGAACTGCAAGAAGCTCCTGTCACGTGCTTTTAACATCCTATGGAGAGGGAGCATGGACACTGGGGTTGTCCCACAGTTACTAAAAACAACAGACATAGCCCCACTCCACAAAGGGGGCAGTAAAGCAATAGCAAAGAACTGCAGACCGATAGCGCTAATGTCCCACATCATAAAAATCTTTGAAAGGGTTTTAAGGAGCAAGATCACCACCCATCTAGATACCCATCAATTACACAACCCAGGGCAACATGGGTTTAGAGCAGGTCACTCCTGTCTGTCCCAACTACTGGATCACTATGACAAGGTCCTGGATGCACTAGAAGACAAATAGAAGTAATATACACAGACTTTGCAAAAGCCTTCGACAAGTGTGGCCATGGTGTAATAGCACACAAAATGTGAGATAAAGGAATAGCAGGAAAAGTTGGTAGATGGATCTATAATTTCCTGACAAATAGTACACAAAGAGTCAACAGAGTAAAGTCTGAAGCAGCTACGGTGAAAAGCTCTGTTCCGCAAGGCAGAGTACTCCCATCTTGTTCCTCATCCTCATATCGGTACCTGACCAGCTGGGCTGTGGTTCGTATGCTGGATTGCATGTGGCCAGCAGTAACAGCCTGGTTGATCAGGCCCTGATCCACCATGAGGCCTGGTCACGGGCCGGGCCGTGGGGGCGTTGGCCCCCGGAACCCTCTCCAGGTAAACAGTGGGCAGCAGAATTTTCTTTACATTGAGCATACTCACCACACTGGCCCATTCTCTCATGTCTTGGCCAAAATTCACCGCTCACAGCTTGAGTGAGCTGAACTCATGACGTACAACTATGTGAGAGATCCTGGCCTCGGTGACATAGTTCTATGTGATGGCCACTGAAAGGGTTAAAAGTTCTTAAAGCTGAATAATCTGTGAAATAAATAGGATAATCTGTCATGGAAAACATGTGTTTTTCCATGATAAATGAAGCAGAATATTACTTTTGCCTTATTTAAGAATAATTTATTACATTCATTAGGCAAAGCCAATTTGATCAAATATACTGCAATTTTTTTTTTTAATTTTCTTTGACTTTTCTGATTTCTTAATATCCTCTTACTGACAAAGTATATCACTAAACAAGAGCCGTATTCTGAGCAAATACTTTCAAATTTCTTAGAAACTTTTTGGAGGAAATCATAACAATAAACAGACAATTACTTTTCTAAGGACTTAGGTGGCTGGCTATTGTTATCTACAAGCAAGATTCTACTTGTGTCCATGCTGTATTTTTTATAAATATGACAAAACATTGCAGATTATCTGGCAACCGTTAACAGGATTTTAACATCATTCGGTGGTCTTGTTTGATCCTGCACCTACACAGATGCTGATGAAAAAGAAATAGTACAAAGAAAAAAAAAAGGACTATGAAAAGATGATACTATCACCTAGAGGCTGAAAGCCTGGTGTTCCCTCCTCTTAATACGACTAAATGATTGATGAACCACTGTTATATACTTATTTTGTAATGCAGCATATGTATAAAGTGTTGTGATGATGGACTTTCTAGTCTAGAAATTAATTCATGGTGTCTCAAAATTGTATTGTATGCACAATTAGAACATCATACCATAATTACATTAAAATGAATGGAAAATAGTTCAAACAGGTTTGTGAGTCACCATTCAGCATGTATCAACAGACCGGGTCACTCATGGATCACCCACAGCTCAGACCCACTTGAAGAGGCCAAAACAAAAATCAAGTGCCATCTGGATGGGAGAATGTTTTACTGTTTACTGGAGATAGGTAGGAGAAAGTAAAAGCTGTCATTCAATTAAAATTTTTGGTTCATGCAAGGGTGGATAAACGAGATGTGACTGTACTGTGAAATTCAAAATGCTGTTATTGGTGCACAAATAAAGGCGTTTGTAATAAACAAGTTAAAGTACACATTAAGTGTAAGCATAGGAAACATATGTACAGTAATACATTACAGTATGCATGCTACTTTTAAATATAATGGGTCTGGAGAATAAGAAAAGGCAAAGGAGCCATCTGAATTTTTCAATTTTCAAAGGAATATTTCACTAACTCTAATCTGCTTGTTTAAAGGGTATTGCAGTGATTGAATGTAAATGTAAACACATGCAGTTTTATGTTCAATATCTGAAAGGCTAAGAATAATATTGGCTACCCTCTTCAAGTTAGCATATCAGTCCATATTAGTGAAGATATTGTTAGGAACTGAGTGTTAACAAGTCAAAGAGGCTGAGACCTGTCATACACCATGAGTAGTGAGGGTACATCTATCTCAATGCACGAGTAGTGAAGGTACATCTATCTTGGTGCATGAGTAGTGAAGGTACAACTATGTTGGTGCATGAGTAGTGAGGGTACAGCTCTCTCAGTGAATGAGTAGTGAGGGTACAGCTCTCTCAGTGAATGAGTAGTAAGGGATGGTGAGGGTACAGCTCACCAAGAATCAGCAGATCCATCTTCCCTGATTGATTAGCTACTTGCCAATGTACTGTTTTCAAGACACTAATTATGGTAACCATTAGCATAATAAAACAAGGGCACCCTGGTACCTCTGCCTGAATCACACACTGTACTATCATTCTTTGTCAGGAAAATGAGTATTATGCTATGTTATAGGTCGATCCATCAGGAGCAGATTGATTCACTCTCGTCAGATACACTGAGGCTGCCACATTACAGTATATGTAATTATTATTATTTTTTATTTTTTTTATTAACACACTGGCCGATTCCCACCAAGGCAGGGTGGCCCGAAAAAGAAAAACTTTCACTATCATTCACTCCATTACGATGGTGAAAGCTTTTCTTTTTCGGGCCACTCTGCCTTGGTGGGAATCGGCCAGTGTGTTAATAAAAAAAAAAATAAAAAATAATAATAATTACATATACTGTAATGTGGCAGCCTCAGTGTATCTGATGAGAGTGAATCAATCTGAATTATTATTATAATCAAAAAGAAGCGCTAAGCCACAAGGGCTAGTATATATAATAAATATGTACTATATAAACACTAAAACTTGCCATTGCCATAACAAGAATATATAAAATTATGTACAGTACTAAAATCAGCAAATATTTTGTGATTTAAACTTAAAACATTTTTACATACTGTATTGCTGACTTTATGTATATGAATATATATTTGATTGAGGGATGGAATACTGAAAGATGAGGTGAACCTTAGAATAGACGACAAAAAAAATGGTGGATGGAGCACTGAGGAGTCTGTTGAAAGGACGTTTATCTATGGAGGCAAAAAGAGGAATGTACTAGAGTACAGTGGTGCCAACACTTACGTATTTGTGAGGCATGGGCTTCAAACACTGCAGTGAGGAGGAAGCTAGAGGTAATGGAGAGTTCATGTTTGAGAGTGGTGTGTGTTGTGAATATTATGCAGAGAATTCAGAGCCAAGAAATTAGAACACAATGTTGGGTTATGAAAGGCATAACTCAAAGTTGTGGGAAAGACTCTTCCAAGTATTTGGGTATACAGATAGGATGGAGCAGAACAGGATGCATAAACTTGCAGTAGAAGGAAAGAGCAACAGAGTTCATCCCAGGAAAGGATGGAGTAAAGGGGTAAAGCAAGCTTTGAGTGCTATGAGCTTGAGCATCCAGCAGGTTTATGTGAGCAAGTTAGATCCGAGTGAGTGGAAACAAGTAGTTTTTATGATGTGCTATTGGGAGTGTAAGAAAGGTAACATTTATGAAGGAATTCAGAGGAAACTGGTCAGCCAAACTTGATTCCTGGAGGTGGTATGTACAGAGCTTGCACTCTGGAGGGGTGGGGATATACAGATCAGAGGGTTAATGGAACTGTGATGTCTTCACACTTCTAGCAAGACAGCCATTGAATGAATGATGGTAAATTTTCTTTGGGGAATTTCCCTACCTTGGTGGAAGACTGCCATTTCTAAAGATCTGTGTAGTCCTTCAGGTCAATTATAAAATGACAGTAATTGAAATTCTGCTGTAGTAATAATAAATTACCTTATATTATCAGTAAGAACAACCTCTTAAGTACTATACCTATTAATCAGATCTGCTGAATTACCAGTATACACATGAGTAATAAATTTTGTCAAACCAAATACAATTTGATGCAAATATTCGTGAGTATTTTCCCAGATCGTTAGTTCATACAAATGAAGCTCACATCTGTGACCACTTTATGTACAAGCTTAAAATTGGAGTGAAAATTTAAAATATGAAGAATGCCGTGTTACATTTACATTGCACTAAAGTTTTAAAAATTACATGCTAAAACAATATTGCCAAAAAATTGCTTATGTTTTACAAAACATAATTCATATGAAAATCTTACATAAAAAATTACATCTTTTGGTCATAAAATAAAATAAAATGGTAGAAGGTATATGGTATGGGAATACCGATAAATTATAGATGATAAAGGCAAGAGCAGTAATTGGAAACTTTAAGACAATGTTTCACCAGCACATTAGAATTTTTCAAGTCTTATAGACCCAACTTTATTGCTATATATTGTGATGCCACCAGGTACAGTCTATAAGATGTGAAAAAGTGTGTTGTGAAGGCAAAACACTGACTTAATTAAAGTTTCTAATTACTGCTTGCATCTTCAAATTATACACACAACTATAAAACTATAATACTAAAATTTTCAAGTTTCCTTCTGTATCATTACCATTATAAAATGAGACTTACAGTATAGTAGCTAATAGAGTATACAATATTGTAAAATTTCCTTTCTGCTTATTAAAGCATATACAACAATATTATACATGCCACAATGACTCCAAAGTTTTCATTAAAATGAGTTAATGCCACTCAGAGCCAAAACCATAGGCAGAGTCAGAATCCGAATCAGCATTCATGGATGGCATCATGGAGGGCATCATGGCTGTATGAGGAGAAATATCATCTGTAGGTGCAAGAGCAGAATAAGCTGAAACAGGACGAGTCTGCACAAAATCACGATCTTTCTTAGTTTTTCTCTTCTTGATGGGGCCAAATTTAGGTGGTGGCATGGACTTTGATTCTTTTTCCTGAAAAAAGTTGTATTTAGTACACATGCTTATTATTTTATTTTTCCTGGAAAATAAATAACTACCTTTAGTGAGAACAGTTTAGTTTAGCCAAAGGAGATACACCTGGGCTAATAGGCTAATACTGTTTAAGATGATCTAGTACAGAAGTACCAGATATAGCAAATTATTGTAATGTGCAAGAAATGTGTTAATGTTTGATAATCTCCCATTTAATCCAAGTATATGTGCCTTATTGATCTTTAATTCACTCCATTCTATACTTAGATGAACCTCAAGTTATTAAGGAGAAACTCGCTGGGTGCAAGATTCAGAAAAAAAAAAAAGTGAATGGAGTTTCTTTGAACTACAGTACTTCTGAGGAAGGCATCAGTGATACAAAGGTTTTAACACCAGGTAATACACTATGAACCCCTTTTCAGTAATAATTTCAACAAGGTACACTGTCTGGAAGAAATAATGTTGGCATTTACTTTCATACCTCAGACTAACATCTACATCTTCACTGAAGGTAGTTTTGCAGTCAAATGATTTAATTTTTGCCATAAATAATTATGCCTCCAATGGAGAGCATAAGCTCTTTTTTCTTATTCTGCACTCAGGTTTAAATGATTACTCTCATTGCTACTAAAATACATAAATCTGATAGAGATTATATACAAATTCACATTAAATGATATTGTGTAATACTGTAATTTCAATGCAAAAGATTTAAAAATGCCAAGTTGGAAATAATACTTTGATTGGAAACTTGATATACAGCACTGTACTGGTAAATAAAAAAAAATCTCTGTAATAATAATAATAATAATTATAGGAGGGTGGGTGCAGGAGGAAAGAGGTAGCTTAAAAAAAAAAATTATTTTTTCTTATGAAATGATAGAGAATCTTTTCCCGATTGTAATGACACCAAAAAAACGAAATTTGATGGAAAACTGACGGAATTATGCTCTCGCGAAGTTAGCGACCTCGGCGCTGTTTACAAATCGGCGATTTCGCCCACTTTGAGCCCTATTTTCGGCTAATTCCATTGTTCCAGTAGCCCAAACTCATAGCTATTTCTTTAGAACTTCATTTTTTCTATCGATTGAGTACAAAAAACTGCCCATTTACTGATTTCAACTACCTAATAATGTGGTCAGAAATTTGCAATTTGGCCAATTTCACGAAAACTAAAAAATATGACAATTTCAAAATAAGGTCCAGAATGAACAATGCAGACATTCCAGGCTCTAAAATAACATTTTCTTTGCTCATCAGTCATGTCTCCAGGCCCCTCTGATATTACTCTTGCTTTCTATTTTGAATTTTTATTCAAACAAAAAATATTAGACTTACTATTATGCAGACTACTGCAATGCTGTAATAACTGTATAAATAACATCAACCCATTCATGACTGCATATTAGAATGGCTAGTTGGACATTTATTGGAAAATGGCATCATTTGTTTACTTTTGAACATTGGCAAAAATCAAACATTTCCCCTACTTTGAGCTCCATTTCTAGGTTCTTTTTATAGTAAAATCAATCAAAAACACCACTATTTCTGTAATATGTTTTCCATTCTATCAAATGAGACCAAGAAAACGAGAATACAACCATAAATACTATACGAAAATAGACCACAAAGTCGGCATTTTAATTAAAAAAAACGGTCGGAGTTTTTTTTTTCTCATTATGCACTGCGTGCTCCAGGATTTTTTTTATATGGTGCACACTGACCACACAGACCCATTCTCTCACATGTGGGCCTACCAGCTTTCTCCTGCTTGATTTGAAGCCGCTAGAATTTATGAGTATATATACGTCAAACACGGCACCTCGTAAAACGTATATATACGGCCGCGACAGTCAAAGGGTTAAGGAACAAATGGATTTGTCAGTTAAAAACAGAGTAGGGAAATTAGTAGATGGGGAGATGGAGGTATTGGGTAGACGGGAACATTTTGAGGAACTTTTAAATATCGACAAAGAAAGGGAGGCGGTAATTTCATGCACTGGCCAGGGAGGTATACCATCTTTTAGGAGTGAAGAAGAGCAGGATGTGAGTGTGGGGGAGGTGCATGAGGCATTACGCAGAATGAAAGGGGGTAAAGCATCTGGAACTGACGGGATCATAACAGAAATGTTAAAAGCAGGGGGAGATATAATGGTATTTTTGTTTAATAAATGTATGAAAGAGGGGAAGGTACCTAGGGATTGGGAGAGAGCATGTATAGTTCCTTTATATAAAGGGAAGAGGGACAAAAGAGATTGTAAAAATTATAGAGGAATTAGCTTACTGAGTATACCAGGAAAAGTGTTAGGTAGGGTTATTACTGAAAGAATTAGAGGTAAGACAGAGTGTAGGATTGTGGATGAGCAAGGAGGTTTTAGAGTGGGTAGGGGATGTGTAGATCAAGTGTTTACATTGAAGCATATATGTGAACAGTATTTAGATAAAGGTAGGGAAGTTTTCATTGCATTTATGGCTTTAGAAAAGGCATATGATAGAGTGGATAGAGGAGCAATGTGGCAGATGTTGCAAGTACATTTATATGGAATAGGTAGTAAGTTATTAAATGCTGTAAAGAGTTTTTATGAGGATAGCGAGGCTCAGGTTAGGGTGTGTAGAAGGGAGGGAGACTACTTCCCGGTACAACTAGGTCTTAGACAGGGAGGTGTAATGTCACCATGGTTGTTTAATATATTTATAGATGGGGATGTAAAAGAAGTTGGGGAGAGGGGTGGGATTAAATTATGGGGAATCAAATACAAAATGGAAATTGCCATAGTTACTTTTTGCTGATGATACTGTGTTTATGGGAGATTCTAAAGAAAAATTGCAAAGGTTAGTGGACGAGTTTGGGAGTGTGAGTAAAGGTAGAAAGTTTAAAGTGAACAAAGAAGAGAGTAAGGTGATGAGGGTATCAAATGATTTAGATAAAGAAAAATTGGATATCAAATTGGAGAGGAGTGTGGAAGAAGTGAATGGTTTCAGATATTTGGGAGTTGACGTGTCAACGGATGGATTTATGAAGGATGAGGTTAATCATAGAATTGATGAAGGAAAAAAGGTGAGTGGTGCGTTGAGGTATATGTGGAGACAAAAAATGTTATCTATGGAGGCAAAGAAGGGAATGTATGAAAGCATAGTGGTACCAACACTCTTATATCAGTGTGAAGCTTGGGTTGTAAATGCTGCAGTGAGGAGATGGTTGGAGGCAGTGGAGATGTCCTGTCTAAGGGTAATGCGTGGTGTAAATATTATGCAGAAAATTTGGAGTGTGGAAATTAGGAGAAGGTATGGAGTTAATAAAAGTATTAGTCAGAGGGCTGAAGAGGGGTTGTTGAGGTGGTTTGGTCATTTAGAGAGAATGGATCAATGTAGAATGACATGGAGAGAGTATAAATCTATAGGGGAAGGAAGACGGGGTAGGGGTCATTCTTGAAAAGGTTGGAGGGAGGGGCTAAAGGTGGTTTTGTGGGCGAGGGGCTTGGACTTCCAGCAAGCATGCGTGAGTGCGTTAGATAAGAGTGAATGGAGACGAATGGTATTTGGGACCTGATGAGCAGGGTAATATTTAGTGAAGGGATTCGGGGAAACCGGTCATTTTTATATAGCCGGACTTGAGTCCTGTAAATGGGAAGTACAATGCCTGCACTTTAAAGGAGGAGTTTGGGATATTGGCAGTTTGGAGGGATATGTTGTGTATCTTTATACGTATATGCTTCTAAACTGTTGTATTCTGAGCACCTTTACAAAAACAGTGATTATGTGTGAGTGAGGTGAAAGTGTTGAATGATGATGAAAGTATGTATTTTCTTTTTGGGGAATTTCTTTCTTTTTGGGTCACCCTGCCCCGGTGGGAGACAGCAGACTTGTTAAAAAAAAAAAATAATAATAATCTATTTCTACAAGTACATGTACAAGGTATACAGGCCTAGCTGACATCAATGACATACTACTATAGAGAAAGAGCCTTGTTATACAGAGCATTTCCTGGAGTTTACCTGGAGAGAGTTCCGGGGGTCAACGCCCCCACAGCCCGGTCTGTGACCAGGCCTCCTGGTGGATCAGAGCCTGATCAACCAGGCTGTTACTGCTGGCTGCACGCAATCCAACGTAGGAGCCATAGCCCAGCTGGTCAGTTACCGACTTTAGGTGCCTGTCCAGTGCCTTCTTGAAGACAGCCAAGGGTCTATTGGTAATCCCCCTTATGTATGCTGGGAGGCAGTTGAACAATCTCGGGCCCCTGACACTTATTGTATAATCTCTTAACGTGCTAGTAACACCCCTGCTTTTCATTGGGGGAGATGTTGCATCGTCTGCCTAGTCTTTTGCTTTCGTTGTGAGTGATTTTCATGTGCAATCACTCACAACGAAAGCAAAAGACTTGGCAGATGATGCACCATCCCCCCAATGAAAAGCAGGGGTGTCACTAGCATGTTAAGAGACCATACAATAAGTGTCAGGGGCCCGAGACTGTTCAACTGCCTCCCAGCATACATAAGGGGGATTACCAATAGACCCCTGGCAGTCTTCAAGCTGGCACTGGACAAGCACCTAAAGTCTGTACCTGACCAGCGGGGCTGTGGCTCGTACGTTGGTTTGCGTGCAGCCAGCAGTAACAGCCTGGTTGATCAGGCTCTGATCCACCAGGAGACCTGGTCACAGACCAGGCCGCGGGGGCGTTGACCCCCGGAACTCTCTCCAGGTAAACTCCAGGCAAGTTCATTACTAGTCCCTCTAGGATTTTCCAGGTGTATATAATCATGTATCTCTCCCACCTGCGTTCCAGGGAGTACAGGTTCAGGAACTTCAAGCGCTCCCAGTAATTGAGGAGTTTTATCTCCGTTATGTGCCATGAAGGTTCTCTGTACATTTTCTAGGTCAGCAATTTCACCTGCCTTGAAAGGTGCTGTTCGGGCAAATTAGGTCAATTTTGTCCCCAGGATGTGATCCACACCAGTTGACAAACACTGGGGTACCTATTTTACTGCTAGGCAAACATGGACAGCAGGTGTGTTAAGGAAACACATCCTAATGTTTCCACCCGTATTGGGGATCGACCCTCGGACGTCAGTGTGTGAGCTGAGTGCACTACTGATCGAGCTATGGGACATCTGAGATATGGGTGTTTTAATTTAGAATCTGAGGGGATGAATCTAATATTATTTCACAATTAAACCATAATCTTTTGAGCAACCTTCAGATATTTCAGTCCATCCTAGACAACTATCAAATCCTGACTTGATAATGGTACAGGAAAAACTGAAACACCAAATAGAGTTTAGTCTCAAAATTATTAATTCTGATTTATTCCAGCCATGGCATACAGACTATTTTTACTGCACACTTGATGATTATGATATTTAGTGATAACATTACATTGTACTCTGCAGATATATAAATTTACTATGGAGATTGTTTCTTTTTATTCTTGTACAGTATCTTTCGAATCCAAAATCAAATTTTTTATTCTTAGTTAGGGGTATTAGTTCAAACTTGCATTAATTGTGGAAACTTTTGCAGATAAGAATGTCTAAACATTATATTTTTTATTTTAATTAAAAAATCCCATTAAATTACTTATTCTAATTATTCTAATTATAAAATAGATTATGTATGTACTATATTTCTGTTTCATTATAACCAATTTTAAAAACTTTTTTTGTTTTGTTTTTTACTCTTAGTGTTCATTAATGGCTGTAAAAAAGTTTTCACATCAATCTCATTTATTGCATTCCTTTCCCTATTGCCCTCCCCCAAAATTATTCCTTGCCTTTTCCCCTTTCACCCTGCCCTTCTTCTCCTGGTTTTGGAAGTGAGCTTACTGCATCGGGTAGTGAGTCACTGGATCCCCAGGTGCGGTGTAATCTAGCTTCAACATCACGGGAAAGCAAATTGTTGAAGGCCTCAGTCGTCTTCCGCACTTTCACATTTAGGGACCCGATGCGCAGAAATCCAGCTGCCTCTTTTACTGTGAAGAGAACAACAAAGTCACAACACCCATCTTTGGATTACTTTACTACACAAGCTGAGCCATAATTTGGATTATATAACATTAGTCTCATTTATTTAAAAACAAAGAGTAATTCACAAGACAAACACGTAGTCTCTAGATGAGCAGTATTGGCCTAATTGTATCGACAAAACAATGTGAATGAACATTTAAGCATGAATGAATATGTAGGTAAAAAATAATTTAAAGAAGAAATTGATTAAAGAAAGTTACATATAGAAAAAAATTGTGGCAAAATGAAGAACAATATGACACAACAAGTACAGGAAGGCCCCGCTTTACGGCGTTTCACTTTACGGCGTTCCGCTAATACGGACATTTCAAATTATGACCAAAACTCACTATACGGCTCCCCCCACCTGACTTTCTAATACGGTCACCGTGCCCCACCCTGTTTGTTTACATTCTCCATGAGCTCAGTAAGCACTAAGTCTCTCCATTTTGTCTGGAAACTCCAAAATTTCAAATGTTTTTAAAAGTTATTTCATATTTTATATATACTCTGATAATTATACTTATGTATACCTGTACCTAAATAAACTTACATACATCGAGTCATTTAAATGTCGTATATTACGTTAATATACACATTTTCATTAATCCATCCATGATATTTTTTTCAAAATTATATAATAAACACGATGCATAACATATAAATAAGATAAATACACCCCACAGTAGAATAAATAAACAAATGTGAGATGTCGTAGCAGACGACTTGCACAAGTGGTGATAATAACAATACTGAGTCTCATTAAATGTCGTATATTACGTTAATATACACATTTTCATTAATCCATCCATGAATTTTTTTTCAAAATCATATAATAAACACGATGCATAACATATAAATAAGATAAATACACCCCACAGTAGAATAAATAAACAAATGTGAGATGTCGTAGCAGACGACTTGCACAAGTGGTGATAATAACAATACCGAGTCTCATTAAATGTCGTATATTACGGTAATATACACATTTTCATTAATCCATCCATGATATTTTTTTCAAAATCATATAATAAACACGATGCATAACATATAAATAAGATAAATACACCCCACAGTAGAATAAATAAACAAATGTGAGATGTCGTAGCAGACGACTTGCACAAGTGGTGATAATAACAATACCGAGTCTCATTAAATGTCGTATATTACGGTAATATACACATTTTCATTAATCCATCCATGATATTTTTTTCAAAATTATATAATAAACACGATACATAACATAAAAAGATGATAAATACACCCCACAATAGAATAAATAAACATAAATATAAGATGTGGGAGCCACATAACTTGTACAAGTGACGCCAAGAATAACATTTTCTCTAATCTAAGATAAGAGTAAATGTGTTTACTGGGGGTAACTGTAAAAATTATTCCTTTCGTATGTATGTAAGTAAGTTTATTCAGGTATACACAAATACAGTTACATAGATTATCATACATAACAACATACGTGTAGAGAACCTAGGATAACCCAAAAAAGTCAGTGTGACTTATTTCCATTGCCTTCACTCAGAGCTTCATTTCTTCTCAAAATGATGTTACATGAGAATGGGAGTGTTCTTCTTTATTAATTCTACCGTATCAATGTAGAGACAACCTGTACACAATGTAACTTGTACACAAACCAGACGTGTACACTTCGTTTGTTTACAAAACTTACCTTCCCCTGGTTTGTTTACATAACTGCGCCTGCCCCCTCTCATGTATTCATTCTTTCTCTCTCTCATTTATTCGTTTTATCTCATTTACTTACTCCTGACCCTACATTAAGACTACAAATATTTTAAGGTAAGTAATGAGTGAACTGTATATACATTTTATCGCTCTGGGATGCTTAAATATCATAGAATAGTATGTGTGGGTGGGGTGGCCTGGTGAGGCTATTACAATACATACCACACTTGATTTCTTACAATAAATACTACTTGTCTCACCCTAGATTAAGACTATAAATATTTTAAGGTAAGTAATGAGTGCACTATGTGTGTATTGTACCTTTTTATTGTTTTTTGATGCCTGGTTCTATTGCTAACTTAATATATGTTAGTGTAAACTTGTTATCTAGTGTTTGTATGCATTTATAAGTGGAAAAAAAGGGTGTTCCACTTTACGGCGATTTCCGCTTTACGGCGGTAGCCTGGAACCTAACCCGCCGTATAAGTGGGGCCTTCCTGTATACTGACAAAATATTGAAAGCACTGCAAGTGGCATTAACATAAACTAACAGCATACTCAGGAAATGAAGACATATTTGCTTATGTGACAACAACATGAGTTAATTTTAGAAACAATGTGATTATTCATTAAGCTTGCTTTGAATGGTAACTGAATGAATATACAATACAGAGCATATCAATGTTACACAAACATACATATTTTTTTTAAAGCTGGACCTAGCTACTGCATAAAACTCTTAAAAGTTGAAATTCAAATTATTCAGTGGGTTTTAATAATGTGATGTGAGTGTAAAATATGCAGTACAGAACTAAAAAAAAATGTAGTTTACATATATGACAGGATGTAGCACTCAAGAAGTTTGTCATGCAGTTATTTATGAAAACAATCACTGTAAATTACATAAAAATCACCAAACACACACATGCACAAAAATATAAATCTATATGTACTGAACATAAAATAAAAATAGAGTAACACACCACACAAAAATAAGCCTTGAATACCCAAAATACATTTTATTTAATAACACACATCAAAACAATTCACATAACTGCATTGTACTGTATGTACACATCACAAAAAAAAGTCATGCAAAAATGAAAAAAAAAAAAAGTTCTCAAGATAACATCAGAAAAAAACTTAAAACTTCAAAACAGTGCCTCCAATGGGAATTAATAAGTAGAGGCTTGGCACACAGCAGGAGGATGGGTGATAGTAGCACACAACCAAGGTGTGACAGGCTACCTGTCTGAAGATTACTGATGCCACAGCCTCGCCAATACTGTGGCGCCGTGACTTGCTGCTACTGCTGCCATGACTGCAACCTGTCTTATGCTGGTGGTGGCGATGGTGGCGGTGACGGTGCAACTTCTCTGAAGGTGGGGTGGTGGTAGTGATGGAGGAAGAGCGTGGAGAGGAAGTATGGACACACCACCAGGTTAATAGCTAGATATCATTACTCTAGACACGACAGACTGAGGATAATATGCAGTGTACACAGGGGTCACAAGTTTGTGTAACGGGTTATGACTTATGGGAAGGGTTACTAACAATACTGAATATCAAAGCTGACAGGATTAATGCTAGTGGTAGGAGACAGCACAGAAGGGGGGAAAAAAAGGCTGAGGTTAGCAGGATTATTAAGAAAGCTTCATTACAGCTCTCACACTTTACAGCAGCCACTATTTTGCTTATTAAATTGTAGAGACTGCCAAATTGTCTTGCAATAAACAGACAAATCTGATTAATGGTTGTGTGTGCCTATTTACTGTTTCCAAGCATTCATGGAATGACATTATCATCATACTTCTTCACCATGACCAATGATTCACATGATGAGAACGCTTGGTGGGTTCTGATTTTCCTTTAACAAACTAATTTGCTTTTATTCCTTGTTGGGTTAAAGACTTTATTTTTTATAAGTTGCATTTAACTTCGCATGAAAGTATATGGTACTGTATAAGAAAGTTTACCATGGTAAGCTCTAGTCATATAATGCACCAAGAAGAATACAGTAAAAGTCTGATAAAATGGACTCCCATAAAGCAGATGTCAGATAAAATGGACAAAAAATCTGGCCAAATGAAGGTTTAACATGTATGTTTAATGGAATGTCCAATTAAATTAGCCATGAAGCAGACCAAATATGTTATGTCTGATCATATACTCAATAAGATGGACCAAGTCTGCTTTATTGCAAGTGTATGGTCCAGGCTTCATCCAGGACCTATTCATTGTCATTGTGGTGGTACAGACAAGCCTCTCGTGCCCAATTGGAAATTATGTTGCCAGAAACAAAATAATTGTTTACAGAGCAAGGATGAGCAAGCAGGTAGGCAGTTAGCCAGTCAGCTTCCTTGTTAATGAATTGTAGACTTAATATTTACATTTCTGTTGTCACAGATCTCCCACATTTGGTACACTTATAGTCTTTGTCTGTTGTTCACATTAGTTAATTACCATTTGTCCAAGGCACTTGTCACTAAGACACTTCATCTGTTTTTGTTAAATATCCAGTACAGTACTGTTTGCCTACCTTCCTCACTCCCATCCACCACTCTCTCCTATTCACTTCCAACACACACTCCACCACCACTCCATTTAAGACAGGCAAGTAGGCAGACTAACAATATTTTCATTAAGAGGGAGAGGAAGAGGGTGTAAGAGTGTAATGTGAGATGTTCCAACCAATGTTCAAGGTAACAGCCTAGTTGATCAGGCCCTGATCCTCCTGGAGGCCTGGTCATGGACCGGGCCGCGGGGGCTTTGATCACTGGCAAGTCATTATACGGATGACGAAATGAAGAGGACCCAGAAAGCTATCTTGGGAGATCTAAATTCATTAGTAGGCTTCTACATGAAGTGTCATTTATGACTACATGATGTTGCCTGTTATTAAGGTATGACTGAAAATGCGTGGATGTGTTCCCTATGGTGCCCCGTGGCCTGGTGGCTAAAGCTCTCGCTTCACACGGCGAGGGTCTGGGTTAGATTCCCAGTGAGGGTAGAAACATTGGGCGTGTTTATTTACACATGTTGTCTATGTTCACCCATCAGTAAAATGGGTACCTGGGAGTTAGTCGACTGGTGTGGGTGGCATCATGGGGCAAAACTGACCTAATTTGCCCGAAACGCTCTGCAAAACAATGTCATTGATGTCAGCTAGGCCTGTATACCGTGTATATGTACTAAATAAAGATATTATTATTATGAGTGTATAGCGATTAAGCTTGAGTAGAAGAGTATCATACGGTAGGAACAT